TGCTCGTTGTTGTTTCTCTTGCAAATACTGGCAGGTCTCAGAGCCAATAGCGTGATTTCAGAAGGAGTCCAACTTCTGGAGGCTCTATTTTTGGGCGAGTGAATCCCTTCTGTTAATGCCTTCCTTATTTTTATCACCACAATACCTTCTGATGAGCGTTAATATTTCCTTTTTGGGAACACAGTTGTGGGAGCTTATGCTTTTGCAATTTCTCGGTCTGGGAGCTAATTTCAGCTTGTACAACCTTTAAATGGTCTTGTGGTATTTGTGCCTTATTGTTGGATACATGTATTCTTGCTAGACATATGGAGAAGGAGGCAGGGGCAAAATCTTTTTTTTCCCCCTTCCTTTCTTTTGTTGTAGATGTACCATCCTGAACATTTTCATTTGTGCTTTTAGCAGAACACCCCGTCTCTATTTTTCCCTTAATGTCAAATTATCCTATCCAGTAGATATGGTCTGTGAGAAGCATTGCTCTTACATCATTGTTATTTGATGTATTTCCAACATTTGGTAAAATGAATGGTGTGATTAGAGAGGTCTCAGTATCACCATAAAAAGTTACATAACGTTATTTCTTGGTCTTATCCTTGAAACACTTTCTCATGAGTTTTCAAAGTGTACATAACAAACCTCCTGCCTTGTGGTTGCCATTCGTTCTCCCGGACCTGGGTTGTTGTCACTAGAATAAAATTAGTACCACTTGTGTTTGAAGCTGTCACAGCTCTTTACACATAATTGTCTTTCTAGATATGTATTTGCAGCTGTATTTGGTGCTTGCTTGCAAACTGTGAATAATCGGCCTGATATATATATGTGACATATATATGTGTGTATATATATATATCAGGCTGATATATATTTTCCTTTAATGAAACTTGGCCTTGTCCTGATTTGATATGTGATCCTGAGCCTTGTCTGAGGGAGGTGGATATGTCAGGGATGATGTGGCGTGTTTCATAACCCAAGAACAGGGAATGTCTGCTTGTTGGGGGATGTTGAGGAGGCTTGGAGAAGATCCTAAGGCCTTGAGAGAGGACTTGATGTTGAAATCCTACCACGTCCTTGTATTATATAATTACGTCCACTGAGGTAATCCTTGAGTATCCTCTTCCTTCCTGAATGTGCTTGACTGTGTCTAAAGACATCTGGCATCCACAGAGTATGGAGCTGAGACCAAAGTTGAATTCTACGTTTTGTGAATTTTAGCCCATTGTGTTTGTGGGGACGTCCTACTTGCTGCTTGCTCTAGGATCCCTTTCCTCATTGTAGGGCAAGTCCCCTCTAACCTCAGCTTGTGTTCCCTCTAACCTCTGAGTCCACGGGAACATGTGGAGGTTTATGGTGGAGCCTTTAGAGAACCCCTTTTCAAATGCAAGCCTGCCTGAACAAGATGTGTGACCTTCATCCAGCTGATTCAAGTAAAAGGGAGATACTTTTTTTGTATTTCCTGAGGAAGAGAAACATCACAGTACAGCTTGCTTCCCTTCTTTATCTTTTCCTTTTTTTGAGCATTCACTTGTTGGTCTGTGTATTCAGTAGGATTTGTAGACTGAAGAGCCCCTGGAGTGGTCAGGTGCATTTGGAGTCCATCCACAGTGACCATCTCTCAGGCTGGTGTTGTATCTCAGAAGATGGACCGCTGTGTCGCAGTGTAACTAAGATGTTGTTTTTAATGTGATTTCCCTGTTGTATGGTGTGTTCTTTGACAACCAAGGAGACTTGACCACTGAGCTCTGACACTGTATCAAATGCAGCCTGTGCCTGTTCGTGGTGAAGCATAAGCCATGAATCCTTCCCATGCAAACATATTCCTTGTGGAAGCTTTGGCCTTTTCCAAGGCTCGGTGGAAATCAAGACGGAAGAGTTCTGAAAGTTTTTGCCTAACTTCTACTTGTACTCCTTAGTCCCGACCGGTGAGAAGCATGAGAGAATCTTGAATCTTGAATATTTTATTCCTTATTTTCTTGTGTGCTATTTGTGTGAGTGTACTACAAGTTTACCGTTCTGGAGTTCCATATCGTTATATATTCAGGCTTATCTGTGTTGTTACACCAGAGTTGGCAGGCTTGTCCCAAGATGTACTTATTTCCATTGCCTTAGTGGGGCGAGTGGAAACATTGCTGTCTAGGGAAGGAACAAGAGCTTGAATTACGTCTCGGGAGATGAAGCTGGTCATTGATAAGGCCTCAATTCCAGGACACTGCTAATATACTTAATTTTTGAAGGGCAGCGACAGAAGAGCAAATTTCAAGGTAGGTGTAATATGCCAGAAAGTATGGGAAGGGCAAAGTATGTGTCTCTGTCGTCCAGGGTGCATTGATCGAGGATTTGTGTTCAGTTTCCAGAAACACCAGTGGAAGCTCGTCACTCATGGCTCCTGATTGTGCCTGTTAATGGTGCTCCTGGTGGTAGGCCTTGCTTGATTTCTTGAGAATACAGGTAAATATGTTGTCAGAATATCTTGATAGATGAGGGTGAGCATGCGTGTACAAGTTGCGGCACCATTTCCCCCACCAGAACTAGCCCCTTTCCATTCTTAGCCTGTTACAAGAGATGTATTTCTGTTCAAGATGCATACTCAAGATTAATTTGATGAATCTCTTCAGAAACACTGGGAATAAGTCTTCTGATATTTAACTCGGATGGATGTAATATTGCCAGGGTGATGCCTACAGGTTTGACCCAGCCAGTGTGTGATCTCTTGCCTTCCATACAGCCTCCTGGCACAGCGTGAGGTGTGAGAGGAAGCACGAGTGATTGAGTGTAGGAGGGTGGCTTGTGTTTTTGTCAGTGGATGTGGAGGGAGTATTTGTGGATGTTCTCCACGCAAATGGCTTCATGACTTCTGGTTATGGGCTAGGTGAATGATGTTAATAGGTGTGAGACAGTGTGTGGGGACTAATTACTGTATTGGTACTGGAACTGAAGTCCTGGCTCTGTTGCTCTGTTGTTCTGGTAGGGGATGCTCACCTGGAAAGATGAGCAGGAGCTGTAAATGAATCATGCAGTTTCAAGTGGAGAAGGCGGCTCACACACACACACACACACACACAAAGTCTTCCTGGTGCCAAAGGAAGAACACTAGGTAGCTGGTCTTCCTCTACATTTTTACACTGTTCTTGGAGGATTTCCTTGTCAAGTGCATCCAGGTGGCCTTCCTGAAGTAAGGAAATTCTTGGCTTTTTTAGGACCATTCATATGGAACAGGTCGCGGGTGGGGAGGGGTGCACATTCCTGTATTTGAAAGGGTAGGTGATTCTGTTACAAACTAGTAAATTAGTAGACTTTTTTTTTTTTTCAATATGCTTTCTTTGGTCTGTACTATACTTTCTGATGATGGAGAGTGCATGAAACCGCTGCACCACACCCCAAGGCCATCCTTGCAAGAAGGAGCAATCCATCCCTGCTGTTAGCAGTGATCATTCAGAAATCATTCTCCTGTGACTGTGTTGTGCAAGGCTTGGTCTTTGTTGTGGATGGAGGTTGCAGAGAATGCTCATCTTCCAGAAAGTGAGCTGAGCTAGCTGAGATGCAGATGTAGAGAGTGTGCTTTGAAGGGCCTGCACATAGCCAGGAGACCTGGAATGCCTTCTGAGTGAAGAGAAATGAGAACAAGTCATGGAAGGTGGAGGAGAGGACCAGGTCCTGTCGCTGAAGGTATTCCCAAGTGTGCTCCATGCCACAGTGACTCTGAGTCGTTGGCAAATGCATATAGAGAGAGAGTTAGAAGATAGACAGAGACTTTCCCAGTAAGCAGTTTTGAGCTATTCAAAATCTGCAGTACTGAGGATCTCATGAAAGACACGATGAGGAAGAGACAGGAGAGGTTTTGCATAAAGTCCTGCACCAGCAAAATCCTGCACATGCTTCATGTCGAGAGTGGCATAGGCATTTAGAAGACTCTTTCGAAAATGAAAGATATAAAGAAGCGAGAGAGATGGAGATAAGAAGAGAATAGTAGGGGTGACAAGAAAATGGAAGGAGATAAA